CTCCGTACCTCAGTGATGGTTCATGGTTGTTCCCAATTCTCCACAGCTGTTATCTTTTAAGGATCCACTCGAATACCTTGAGCTGATATACATGTCCCAAAAATGCCACTTGATCTAACCAGAATTGGCATTTGCTAAACTTAGCATATAACTGGTGTTCCCTCAAACTTTTCAACACCAATTTAAGATGTCTAACATGCTCTGCTCTAGACTTAGAGTATACCAGAATATCATCAATGAAGACAATGACAAACCTGTCTAAATATGGTCGGAATACTCGATTCATTAAATCCATGAAAGCTGCTGGTGCATTAGTTAACCCGAATGGCATCACAAGAAACTCATAATGACCATATCGAGTCCTAAAAGCTGTTTTAGGGACATTTTCACTTTTAATCTTCAACTGGTAGTAACTAGACCTCAAGTCAATCTTAGAGAACACACAGACACCTCGGAGTTGATCAAACAAATCATCTATATGTGGCAACGGATAACGGTTCTTAATTGTTACCCGATTCAATTGTATGTAATCAATGTATAGCCTCAAAGTTCAGTCTTTCTTCCTCATGAATAAAACTGGAGCTCCCTAGGGTGAAGTACTAAGCTGAATAAATCCCTTATCACCCAATTCCGGCAACTGAATCTTTAATTCCCTCAACTCAGCAGGAGCCATTCGATAAGGAGTCAAAGGTATATGATCTGTACCTAGAAGCAAATCAATAGCGAACTCTACGTCTCTATCTGGCAGTAATCCATGCAAATCATCAGGGAACACATCTGGAAAATGCATGACCACACGTACATTCTCCGCACTACTAGGAGCATTATCATTCAACACCACATGAGCCAAATATCCCTGACAACCCTTCGACAACAATCTTTTGGCTTTCATGGCAGAAATAACACCATGCCTTACCCTGCTAGGCTCTCCTACAAACGTAACCTCAGGTAATCCAGGACGATGAAAAGTAACTGTTTTCCCATAGCAGTCTATATTAGCATGATTGTAGTGTAACCAATATGTGCCCAAAATCACATCAAAATCAACAATGTCTAACGGAATAAGGTTAGCTAGCATAACAACATCTTCCACCATCACTGGACATCCTGGATATACCCGATCAACATAACATCTCTCCCTTCTAGGGATAGAAAATTCTAAATCATATCCTAGGGGTGTAAAATGAGGTTGTGTCACTTGAGCAAATGTATGAGAAACAACAGAATGTGAAACACCACAATCAATTAATACTTTAGCAAAATGACCAAGAATGTTCAACGTACCTATGATTAAATCAGGATTGTTTTGAGCATCTTGCAGTGTCATGTTATGGATACGTCCCTGATTTTGTTGTCGTCTACCATGACCTCTGTTAACATGAATACCTCATCCTTGTCTTGGCTGACCCGATTGCCTCGAAGATCCTACATTGTTAGTAGCAATCTCTACTTGCTGGGGCTGTCCCCCCTGGTACCACTGGGATCCACCTACTGAATGTGGCCGGTATGACATAGAACCTCTTTGATACTGAAGGTAACCACCTTGATAATGAAGGTCTTGCTAATACTGATATTGCCCTGTAGTATAAGGAGTGGCGTCACCCTGATAATGATAAGTACCTCCACGATCAGTTTAGGCATAACCACTGGGTCCTGAAACTTGCTGGGTCGACGCATGTGGTGGTAAGGAAGGCTATTGGGGCCTCTGCTGATTATGAGGGCAATGTGCAGCCCTATGCCCCATCTGTCCACAAGTATAGCATCCACTGCTGCCTTTTTTACACTCCCCAAAATGCCTATTATTACATTTGCGGCATAAAGGAGCACCTGAACCACCACCAAAATCCATCTGCCTTTGAAATCTAGAGCCTTCAGAAAATATACCACCTCTCATCTGAACAATAGAGCTCAAACCTCAACTAGAAGAGCTGGAACTGACACCGTTTCTCTTAAAACTCTGGGTCGTACAAGTCCCCTGAGAAGATTGACCTTTACCTTTATCATCATTTCTTTGATTTCCATCTTTTTCTTCTTCCTCCTCACTCTCACTAGACATATTTTCTGAATCCTCAATCCACAGTAAAACCTTATAAAACTCCTGGTAAGTGGCACAAGGAGTCGATGTCGATATAGAATGCCATTTCTTTTTAGTACCCAACCTGAAACGATGAAGCATCTCAACTGGATTAGCAGCTACCTTCAGATCATAGCGAGATAAATTAGTAAACCTTCTGTAATACTTATTCGCCGTCATCTTTCCTTGTTTTAGATGCGTAAATTCTTGTTTTTTGCGATCTATATAGTCTGGAGGAACGAATCTTTTCTGAAACAACTACTTAAACACTTCCCAATCAGCTACTACTTCTGGTGGCATCTGATAAGACTCCTGTCTCCACCAGGATGCAAGCTGCTCTCCTAAAAACTAGGTAGTCATCTCAACCCATCTATCAGGAGGAAGGCTCCCCTGACTCTGCATCACAAGAAAAGTCTTCTCCACATGATTAAAACCACTTCTCCTCTCCCTTATGTCCTTCATTACCCATGAAATGATTCAACTTCAGATTATACACAGTCTCAAAAGGTGTCATTTGAAGAGGACGGAGCGAAGACTGAATGGCATTAGCTATAGCTTCCCTTAACTGAGCAATATTAGGGAAACTAGGCTCAGCTGAGTGACGTGGCTCTCTACGAGGCGGCATAGTTCTGACAGAAGACACCATAATGATTAGAATATTCACGAGATATATAGGACTGCTAAACCTAGGCTCTGATCCAAACTATCACATCCAGGGCTCGACTCCACCGTAGCACAATATTGTCCGCTTTGGGCCCTGACCACGCCCTCACGGTTTTGTTTCTGGGAACTCAGACCAGAAATTCCTAGTGGGTCACCCATCATGGGAGTGTTCTCGTGCGCTACTCGCTTAACTTCCGAGTTCCGATGAACTTCGAAGCCAGTGAGCTTCCAAAAGGCCTCGTGCTAAGTAGGGATGAGAATATACATATAAGGATCACTCCCCTGGGCGATGTGGGATCTTACAATACAACCCATCCCGAAATATTTATTTTCAACGGCATGAAATTACTTATATACCCTTGGACGTTTTGTGTGGTGGTGTGCTAGGTTAGATTTTGGACCAATTAGTGCTAAGTCTTATTATTTTGGAACCAATTAGGACTTAGATGGTATTTTCTTTGGTTTTGGTTGGTGACCCACGTGGACCACATACACACACACTATCTCTCTCTCCTGTTGACTCTTTCTCTTCCCTATCGGATTTCTTCAATCTTTCGTACAAGTCGTACGGACAATCTTGAAGCTTCACTTCCCATCATGGATCGAGCTCGTAGTTACCATCATCACCTTCATCTCATCGTCACAAGCTCAACCATACCCTTTTCTGGTTGTGAAACCTTCGAAACCTGAGAACCCGAGATACTCAGTTTTGGTGCACTGTTTATGCACACGTAAATGTGAAGGTTTTAGTGGTTTTTGAGCTCTAGGAAGCTTTAGGACTTCTCCACGAAGCTCGGAGAAGAAAAACTAGGTGAATTGGACGTCAGGAAGTCGAGATCGACGAGTTCAAAGTTTGGCCGGCTTATCGAAGGATCTCTGGCGAATTCTCGAGGATTTTAGGTTCCAAAATTGGTAAGGTTTTGTTCCTTATGTTGTAAGCTTCATTTTGGTGAAGTTTTCATGGAATTTGGTGCAATAATGAGAGAGATATGAGGTTTTACATATTCTTCTAGTTTCCGGCAGACGACGACGACGACTAGCTAAGCTAATCGGAGAAGAAGATAGAATATTCCATCAAAGTTGACGGAATATTCTGATGCCGTCAGGTAGATTTAACGGTTTTTGTTGCTTTTTAATGGAATATTCCTAACGGAAGTTAGGATTACATCAGGGTTACCCGCGAGTGGGGGTGCGTCTGGCCGTGCCCTTGTTGGCGCGTGGCGGCGCATGGGGCGTCGGAAATTTTTTCTAAAAATATAGGGATGTTTGTGAGGTTGTGTAGATCACGTTGGTATATTCAAACATCCTATTTAAGCAATGTATGAGAAGTTATTAACTAGTTTTGTCTATGTGCTTTAAATAACGTTTATTCAGTTATTTCGCATATAGGTGAGACCTATCCCGAGGACGAGTGCAGTCAAGGGCGACTTGGGGGCTACAACCCTTCAACATACCAGTGAGTGGGCTTTTGGTTTTCAGTATATATTTATATACTTGATATTTTCCCAGAAAATGTATTTAAATGAAAGTATGCTTTGAAATGCCATGCATATAAATTTATATTTAGCATATGAATTAGTATATGATGCATAATATGAATTGGTGATGTGGATGCTTAGGTAAGTACCAGGTGAGTTATGTTTTATTATATGAGATATTGATAATGGGAGACGTGATTGAGAGCTCATAAACCTGCACCCCGGGTGATTGTGATTTAGCCAGAGATATAGTACATGCCTGTTTATGATGTCACCTCCCATACCATATGCTCACATTGGATCCAATTTAGGTGCACAATCTTGTCGTACAGACCATTATAGGTGGTTCTGACTCGTAGGTGACTAGTGATTTATTGCACAGTTATCATGAGAGCGTAGCATTGAGCATAACTATATTACACTCAGTCTTGTCGTACAAATCCTTACAATGGTTCCGACTCGTGTGCAGTGTAGTACCGTATAGGTCACTTGCGGTGACTCTGGCTAGATTGACTAATGAGCTATGAATTCAGCCGTACATACCTCTGCAGGGGTTCCAGCTAATATGTTATTTTCCATGAATATAATTTCACCTGAGTTACTTATTCTGTTTTATATTTTTGGCATGGCATACTTATGAATATGGATATGTGAATATATATATATTCTATTTCTGGGAAAATTTTACATGTTTTACGGCAAAGGGTTAGAGCATTTGACAAATGAAATGGTTTTGACAAACTTTGTCTTTGCCCACTCACACTTTCTGTTTTACGCTTCTCCAGGTTTTAGATAAGCTTGTTCATTGGTGGCTCACGAGGATTGATTGGAGGTTCTGACAGACTATCACAAATGTAGGATATCTTTGGATGTCGTTTAATTAGTACTTGTTTTCTGGACTGAACTTAGGCTACTTATGCTCTGATTGTGTATTCACACATATTCTAGCATTTGTCTTAACTTGTACTCTTATGAGTTGGTTTTTATTTATTTGTACTCTCTATTATCATTATTGCTTCTGTACTGTGCACATGGCTACGTCACCCTCACGTGACGGCCAACATGCCCTGATTTGGATCGGGGTGTGTCAGTTTGTAATCAGAGCCAATCTCTGGCTGGAAGTGTGCCGACGAGGGCATTGGGCCCCTTAAGGGGGGTGGATTATAAGATCCGACATCGCCCAAGGGAGTGATCCTTATATGTATATTCCCATCCCTACCTAGCATGAGGCCTTTTGGGAACTCACTGGCTTCAGAGTTCATTGGAACTCGGAAGTTACGCAAGTAGCGCACGAGAGCACTCCCATGATGGGTGACCCACTGGGAAGTTCTGGTCTGAGTTCCCAGAAACAAAATCGTGAGGGCGTGATCGGGGCCCAAAACGGACAATATCATGCTACGGTGGAGTCAAGCTCGGGATGTGGTGGGGGCCTAGGCCGGGATATGACAAAGCATGTTTGCTCCAAATAAATCAAAATAAAATTCAAAAATTCAAAAACTTGAAAAAAGAAATGGAATTTAGGGGAGTGAATCGAACTAGAGGGGGCACTTAAGCTCGAGACCCAGTTTCTGGAAATGGAGAACCCACGGGTTCATCATTGACCTGGTACTGTTACTGCCGCTGCATTTTTGGTTAGGGTTTGCATCCACCATTGAAACGGAGCTTCGGAAACTCTGAGAGAGTTGCAGAGAGAACTAAAAAGTGAGTTCTTCGAGAGGGGCTTGAAGTATTTAGTTGTTTTTGCAGATGTTGTGTTGGAGTGGCGAAGGACACATGTACAGGCGCGAAGGCAGCAATTCGGGAAAGAGTGCAATGAGAGAGAATGAGGGAAGGGGGTTGAAGGATGTGAGGTCGAAATCAGAGTCAAAGTCTAAGTCTCCGATTTGGTCCAAGGACTAGGTGGGGAGTGAGCAGTTGAAGAGTGTTGACGTGAGGAAAAAGGAGATGGAGGTAGAGGCTGAAGAGATTCAGGGTGAAGAGAGTGGAGGAGAGGGGAGAAGGTGGGGTGGGATGGGGGGTTTAGGTTGCAGGGAAGAGGGAAAGGTAGGGGAAGAAGATGGGTTAAGGGTTTTTTTTTTTTTTTTTTTCCTAAATAACTTTTTTAATTAATTAATTTTAAATGAAGAATTTTTTTTTTTGCCACGTGGCACAAATTTGGCAGCCATGTGGCACAACTGTGGCAACCACGTGATAGAAGCATATTTATGCAACTGAGTTAGCTTGTTTTCTTGCACTTTTATAGTTAGTTTGTGGTTATTATAGTGTTTTAAGCTATTTTCGTGTGTTTGTAGGTCCAAATGACAAAGTATGCAAAAAGGTGCAATTTGGAGCCTTTTGAAGCAGTTTTGAGCATAAAATGGATATCACATGCTTGGAGTCAAATGGATGGACGAAATTGAAGATCAAAGAAGGCAAGAAATGAAGAAATGAAAATGAAGAACAAAGAGTTCAGAATTGGAAACCAAAGTTTCTAAAGTTGGAAGTTGCTATTCTTGGAGGTTTCCATTCTTGAAAGTTTCTATTCTTGAATTGGAAGTTTCCTAATCCTTTTTCATCTTTGTTCTAAGCCCATGCCGCACCCTAGGGCCCTAATCCTTTATTTTCTGCTAAGTTTAAACCCTAATCCATCCACCCTAGGGTTGTGCCGCACCTAGTGTTCTAGAAGCCTAAAAATCTGCATAAAACCCTAATTCTTTTCTCCCTTGGATGGGCCAAGCCTTTTATCTCCAAAACCCTAACCTTTTCCCATCAGATTTTGTGAAAACCCTAGCTTTGCCATGCCTATAAATAGATGTTTTAAAGCCTAAATTCGTGACCACCCTTCACACCATTCAGAAACACCTTGCTGCAACCCTAATCACCATTCTACATCACGAAACACCATCCTCCATCCATATACATCTCTGCCGCACCTTTTGGAGAAGAAGGAGAGCCTTGTCGTGCATTCCATTGATGAAGGAGGGCCTTGTGCGCAAGCCATCTGCATCCTTGGGAGTTTTAAGAGTTCTTTCTTCCCTCGTTTCAGTTTCGATGTTTATTTTAATTTGCTTTTCAATTGCTATGAAGATGTGGAACTAAACTCTTATTAGTTAGTGGTGAATTTGAAGCCATGGACATATGTTAATATGAATTGATTCCTTTAAGTTATTGTTTCATAAAATATGAATGCGATTTACTTATCTATTTGATTGATAACTTATTCTTGTGTGTTGATTAAGGAGGTCTACTTAGTTTGCATGCTTGAATCTGATGCTAAATTATAAGGAACTTTCACCTAATCGTTAGAAACTTATAATTACAAGTAGTGGAGATTGTTAGTCACAATTGTGTTAAGTAGATTCTTGGCAAAAGTATCATGCAGTTCATAGTTATAATTGCCTTGTCAATGCTTATGATTTCCATGGAGTTTAATGATCGTTGAAAGTATCTCTATCATGCAGTTCATATAGGGAACTTGAGAAGAATAATTTGGGTTGTTGCATGCATTCATCCAATTCAATGCATTTAGGGAAATCTGAGAGTTAATTTGTGCATTCACGATTAATTTGGGGCATTGTCGTTCATGGTTTAAAGAAACAATACTGGAAATCGATTTATGTTGCATATGTTCATGTGTGGAGAAGGATCCTCTAACTAGCTTTTCACCCTTGAATTCATCTCAATTTCGTTTTAGTTTACTTTGATTTGCAATTTGTTTAGTTTTAATTCAATTTCGTCAGAAATCAAACCCCCTTTTCTGTTTTATGTTATTAGGTCAGAATCTGTCCTAATTAGGTTCTTTAGAGTGTTTTGAGTCAATATAGGTTAGAATCTGTCCATAAACATTGTTTGGGTCTTAGTTTAGTCTTAAATTCGTCCAATTTCATCTCTAAAATCTGTTTTGAGTCTAATTGTTAGTATTGTGCTGTTTTGAGTCTTTTAAGTGTTTTCTGAGTTAGTTAAGTTACAATCTGTTTTCTTTTAATCTTTTGAGTCAAAGTAAGTTTTAATTTCGTCCAAATCACTTGTTAGGTTTAGAATTGAGTCAATTTCACTTAGTTTTGCAGATTTGAGTGTCTTAGGTCAGTTTAGAGTCTATAGAGTCTATTCTTGTGTTTTTAAGTCTAGTTTAGTGTTTTAGAGTTTAATTTCAGTAGATTAGCAGCCCTAGTTAATCCCCGGTTTAGAACGATCCCTACTTACATCTTTGCTACAATTGTCATCAATAGGGTTTAATTTGTGTGTCAAGTAATTTTCACATCACCACGTTAGCTTTTAACGGATCAATGAATGAAAAATGTAACGGATGTACTATATTGAAATAAAATAGTAGGTGAGGTATGAAAGTGAAATGTTTTATAGATGTTACATGAGGTTGTAATAGACATCAAACCTGAGGGGCTACTATGTAATTTACCCGTAAATCATATATTGTCTAGTTATTCTTGCATGATTTTTGTTTAATTTTTATCATTGGGAGTGGTAGGATACAAACTTGGGGGACCTCTTCAAACAATGAAAAAAAGATATCACTTGGCTGGTCTTGCACACGATTTTAGGGAATTTTTTTTTTAATTTTTTAATTTTGAATTTATTTTAAAGGTTAAGTACAAATAACTACTCTACCTTTTAGGGTGATTCTAGGTTTCAACCTTTTAAAAAATTCCAACTAACTACATAATACTTTGAAAGTTGGAGATAAGTTAGGTCACCAGTTTTAAATGATGAAGTCACTAGCCTGTCATTTATGGAGTCCTAAATCTCCAAATCAACACCTTTGAATCAAATGTTTTCTTTGTTAATATGAGTTGATTTGGGGACTCATAGCTCCAATAGATGACTGAGAGTTAAAATTCACTTCAATATTTTTGCACGTCGCTACTTAATGTTAATGATCTAACAAATGTCCGATCATCAAAACATTAGGCAGTTTTTTTGTAATATTGAAAAGTTGAGACCCATTTAGAGCCTATATTAGTTAATCCCATATTCAGAGGAAACTAATATTAACTGAAAGAAATAAAAACAAATGAGATTTTAGCAAGGCTTGTCATATTTTTTTAGTACATCGATATTTTACACTATATCATGGTCAATATTAATATTAGTTGGCTGAAAATTTAAATGTCAAACATAGATTATATAATATGGAACCCCATGATCAATTAAGTATTGATTGAATTAAAAATGAACCCAAATTGAAATTACATTAGGAGGGCAATCTCCTAACAAATAAGAAGCTTAAGAATTCAGTTAGGGTTTCAAGAAGCTTATTTCTTCTCATTTGATTCCTTCATTTGCCGATTCTCGGCTCATAAAGTTTCTAGTTCTTCTCTGTGGGCGGTGAAGATGGTGGTGGTCGCATCATGATAGTCCATACCATTTCAGCAACCTCCATGACATTTTTCTCGATGTTGGTGGCTTGAGTTGTAGGATGGAGTTGGTGGTTTTGTGTTGGGTTTAGAGGTGATGGCATGATGAAGTGGTTTTGTATTCAAATTATTTGATAATTTGGGTCATCTTTCTCCAGTAATGACTGCTTATTTGCTTTTGTCATCCCTCTTCTTTTTTCATGGGACTAATTTGCCTAATTTGCTACCATATTTAGCTTATCATGAACACCTCTATAATACTTTATGTTTTTGATGATATGGATGTAGATATTTAAGGATGGAATTAGAAACTATTAAATTATAATGTGTTAATTGAACAAATAAATTTTTTTCATTGACAAAAATGTATATAATTGTTAACCAATAGAGAATCAGTTACTCCGTGGGTATAATTATAGATAATTTCTGATGGTTAATTTGCGGTTATGGATATGATTAATTTCATGGTTATGGGGATGAATATGGCATTTCGGTCCCCAAACCCAACCGGTTGCCAGTAAAAAAGCATTCCAGCAAAATCTTAAATTGATTTGAAAAAGTAAAGTCCTAAAATACTGAGTCAGTGGCTACTTAATACTATTGTCTAGTAGTATTCTTCTTCGCTTGTAAATGAAATGTCTTATATTCGATTCTCACCAAAGGTGAATTTAAACCATACCATATTATTGCTAGCCTATTATAAAGTTTAGGGCATTCCCCCATCCTTTTTTTTTTTTTTTTGTCAAACAACGAGATTTGAACTCAAGCCGTGGTGCAAGGGCTACATTTCTTTCCACCATTGTGGTAGATGGTCACTTACACTCATCCATCCTTTTAGTGTAGATAATATGGTTGGTTATAAAATAAATAAATTTAAAAAAAAAGTTACTGAGTCGGTGATAATTTCTACAAAAACAGAGGTAAAGAAACGACATGTCATCGTCAAGCCCCAGACAAAATAAAAAAGCGAGCACTCCGGCAGAAAGCCTAAACGTGAGACGCTCCATAGCCATAGCTTCCGCAAGGCAGAGGCAATTTGAAGTGATGAGGCCAACGGCGATGGACTTCTTCAGCGACATGGACGATCAGGGGTCCACCATGGCCATGGACGTTGACGACGTCGACCCAATCGAGGCGTTCAGCGAGGGCATCATGAGCGAGAGCAAGCTGGCCGACGCCGATTTCTTCAACTCTTTCCAGGACGATTTCGACGACACCGACATCAACTGAACCAGGGAGCCGGATCGTCTTCTTCTCCTTCGTGGCCATGCAATTATTGATCTGATTTGCTCTATTTTCTAGGGTTTGGAATTTGAGGATTAGGGTTTAGAATTTGATTAGGCGAAAAAGGGATTTCCAGCATTAATGGTTGGATGGTTATTGTGGAAAAATTGGATATATACAGATATCGATTTTAGTATGTGTTTTTGCAATCTGTGATTGTTCTGCGAAGGATTGATGAGTTTTTGTCTATTTGAATCTCTCTGTGATTTGCTGATAAATTAGTCTAAATCCGATATTAATCGGTTGCTTATATCTGTTAAAGCGAATTCTGTGTTTAGATTATGTTAGTTTTCTTCGCATTATTTGCGTTGCTTGGAATTGTGAGGAAAAGGAAAAGAGAAGTAGTTGGAACGTTATGTTTCCATGCTAATTCTTGCCTTGTATGAAGTAGTCGCGTGGAATTATGGTTTTACTCTGCAGCGGTGTTAAATGTGCCTTGTCCATTTTGTCTATGGTAACTGGGTGTCATCCGTTTGATCTCTTGCATATATGCATTTGATCCGGGTGGATCTGCTTGATCTGCCTCGGCATATTTGTTGGCTCTGTGTATGTTTATTCATGGTGGTTATGTCGTTTAGCCTAATTTCCCCTCTTGTGCTCTTTTTCTTAGGTTATGTTCTCTGAATCGCACTATGCGCCTGCTTGATTGATTGAGGTTGGAGAAAAAAAAGCAAAAACATGAATTGAAATCCAAAATTCCGACCTGCCGGATTACCATGGGATTACCCGACTACAGTCCTCCGCTCTACCAACTGAGCTAAGGTCGGATCGATAACAAATTAGCCCAACATGAGAAATTACGTTATTTTTCATTAATATTTATTACTCGACAGGATAATTAGCTACCTTTGTTAATTTAATATTTATTAATATTTACATGCACATCTAATTTTGGTGTAGCCTTGCCTCCCGTTACGATTATTCCACGTGATTTAAAAATTTACTACGATTAGTTATGCATATGGCTGACACATTTTATTGTTAGCTCAATCACACACATTTTCTTACGGATAATGATACGAATATCCGCATGATTGTCCCTGAGGGGCTTATTTTGATTGGGTCAGATAGTTCTAGACCATGGAACACCCTTTCTATTCTATTGAAGCGTTCATTTACCGATTGAAACAATCCGTACTAATGTGGTATAATCATCTAAGCGAGTATATGATTAGTCAGGGATGTGACGAACTATGCCCTCGCGGGTTTATAAAGAAGTTTAGTTTCTGATTTGCAATTCTTGCAGTCTATGTTGATGACATAAATCTCACTGGAGCTCCTATGGAGCTTGAGAATATTGTTGCACACCCTAAATCAGAATTTGAGATGAAGGATCTTGGGAAAACTCGATATTGCCTTGGTCTTGAGATCGAGTATTGTTCTAACAGTATTCTGGTCCAATAGTCAAACTAGACCACTAAGGTGTTACGTCAATTTAATGAGGATAAAGGCCTACCTTCGAGTACATCCACAATCGTTCGAACACTTGATGCACAACAAGGCTCATTCCGTCCAAAGGAGTATGATGAAGAGGTTTTGTAACCCAAAGTTCAGTAGCTAGTGCATTTACCGTTTTATTGTACTTAGCTCAATGTACAAGACCAGACATCTCCATTGTTGTGAATTCTTTAGCAAGATAGATACAGCCACACATTAATATGCAAGCACTAAAAAGGTGTTAAAGAAAATCTAGGTATTGTGGATTTGCGTTTATTCTATCCTTACTTATTCTCGAGTGAAGTCGCCACCCCCTTGGTCTTCGCTCTAAATCATGCCTTGTCGGTTATGCTAATGATGAGACTTATCAAACCCGTTCATGGCAAGATCCGCAATGGGTTATGTCTTTATAGTTCTTGGGACTGTGATATCTTAGAGGTCTACTAAGAAAACTCTAGTTGCTACGTCTTCGAACCATGTCGAGATACTCGCCCTCTATGAGGCTGCTCGTGAGTGTATATGGCTGAGAGTTGTGGTCGAGCATATTCAAAGTGCATGTGGATTGTTGTCTATCTTTGGCGTCCCAATAACGATCTTGGGAGATAACTCTACATGTAGACCATATTTGAAAATGATACATCAAAGGAGACCATACCAAGCACATTGCGCCAAAGTTCTTATTTTCTCATCAACAACAAGAGCATTAGAAGATCAAAATCAAGCGAATTTGTTCTGTAGACAATCTTGTTGATCTCTCACCATGTCATAGCCGAGTCCTATTTTTAGAAGCTTGTTCGAGGAATTAGAATGTGTAAATTGCCTGATTTACACCATTTGCAGTCTAATTAGGAAGTTTTGCCAAACTCAAGGGGAGTATTTAGTAGATACTAAGTTGAACCTATTGTACACTTTTTTTCGGAGTATTTAGTAGATACTAAGTTGAACCTAGTGTACACTTTTTTTCTTTGTTCTGGAGCACTTTTCCCATTGAATTTTGCTAACTTGAGAAGGTTTTAATGAGACACAAATACTGGGGTGGTCATACCCTGATGTGAGCGTTAATCGCCACTTGACTACCACAACCATAGACTTTGCACTTCTCAACTTTTTCTTTGAGACTTTGGGATTTGTCCCATTGGGTTTACCATTGTTAGGTTTTTGTTAGTTTATGTTTCCCCACATGCAATTCTAACTCAAATTTGTGTGTGTACTACTTGTGAGGATTGAAGACTTAAATAATCGTCCATGAAGACCTAATGCTACTTCTTCTTAAGCTTTACACGCTCAAGGGGGAGTGTTGTAGCTAATATTGTTTAGGAACGTGATTGTGCAAATCTAGAAGTAGATTCCAAAAGGATTTGGGAAATCAAATCCCCTTATGACTTATATTACTTGTAGGGCAGCTAATTAAAGCTAATGTTCTAAAAATTGGCCTAGGCGGTGAAGGCACGCCGCGATTTAGGGCAAATCATTTTGAAAAATCAGTCTGGAGCTAGGTGGCACTTAGACGGCTTCTAGGTAGTCCTAGGAGGTTTGGTTTATTTTATTTATTTATTAATTGTGGGCTTTTTTCTTTTTTAGTTTCATGGTGGTATATTTATAGAAATGGTGTACCGAATTTGCAAATGATGGATTGACTACAAGTTCATCCAATTATGAAATGAATTGGAGCACTTTTGAGGGATACATACAAAGAAAAGAAATAAACTAGAAGAATTTAGTCTATCATCCAAGAATACTCCTCATTATTGTGGAGCCAAAAATAAAAAAAAGAAAATTACAGAGGTGACACGTGGATTTTTGGGTGAAAGGGACAAAATTACCCTAGAGGTACACCGGGATTCCCACACTCATGCAACAGACAATAAGGGCTCAATCAAGGAAGAGTCAAAGATTATCAAAATGGTATTTATTTAAATCCCTCTCATCACTCTTCATCAAATCCTTATTCAAAAGGTAACTCCTAATTTTTCTATTTAATTTAAGTTTAATTGCCATGTTAATTGCAAGATATTATTTCACATAATATCTTGCAATTATTCTCCAATTACACCATATCTGGCCGGCCACTATTCTTCAAATAGGGCTGCCACTCCCCTATAAATAACCCTATTATCCCACTAAAAAACTAAGTCATTTGCTACCCACAAAGTCCAAAACACATTCTTCTTAGAATTATGATTTTGACATCAGAGATTCTTCGGCAAAAGCCCCCTATTCATTGTGGGCGCATGAGACTTTTGGCCTTAATCTTAGGTGTTATTATTTTGCAGGTGCACTTTCGTCAAAGGAGAAGACGGCAGAAATTTGCATCCACAAATTGGTGCTTTCATTAAGAGTTTGATTCACAAGCTCGAAGAAGATTCTCACATTCAAAGTTTCTCATTTCTTGTTCATTTGTAGATTTTTCGTATGTTTTTATTCCTAGAATTATAATAAAGTTCTTTAAATAAATGTAAAAGAAAAGTACAATGACTAGAAATTCGGAAACCACAATGAACGGAACTTTCTATGTTTAAGGATTTGGAAAAGGATGGAGATCGAGGCATAGCCCCACCACAATGATCCATGCGCCTCAATGTGACAACGAATGGAGCGGCACCATGCCTATGGGGAACCACCATGGCTATGTCAACGAGCAGCAACCACCGTGGCAACTCACGGTGATACCTAAGCCCACGATGAAGGCATCACCTTGCAGCCGCAAGCCCAACCCCGTACCATAGTGCAGCAACGAGCCCAGACCCTCGCCACAAGAGAGTCCAGTATGGCCCTGCGCAAGCAGGCTCAAGTTGCAGTAGCAGCTGCCAAGGCAGTGACTTAAGACCAGCAGGCCTAGGACGTCACGCAGGCCCAAGCAACACCAAGGGGAGCCCAACGCCTATGTGCTTCAGTGGCCCAACCAGCACCCACAGTCCGACCTATGCTGACGACTCGGCTCGCTCCTACAGTCCAACCCAAGATCCAGCCCATTCCCGTGGCCCTCCTAGCAGTTGAAACCTGTCCAAAACCAGTTTAACTGTCCCGACTTCAGATTTATGGACTGATGATTGAACCGGGGGTATTTTCACTTCATTTCTCCATAGATTTGACATATGCCAACTCAAATCTTGCGCCCAGAGTTCATTTCACTTCCACTACTCAAGGAGACACATACCGTCCAAGTTCTTCCAACCTATATGGTGAACAACACTTGTCTTAACAAGTTATAGAGTTGACAAGTGCCCTCGCGCAGCAGATGACCTTGGTGAATTAGCCCTTGTAGCGTAACGAGATGTAGTGTGCCCCAAACAAGGTGTCTCAAAGTAGGATAAGGGTAAACAACGAAGCTCTCCAGCGGTGTCCCGCAAGCAGCCACTCGACTAGTCACGAACTGAGCCTTCTGGCAATGTACACTTCTGATTGGGCCTTCCAGATAACGTATACTCTCGCCTTAGCACGCGGAGGAGCATGCACTCTCGGTTAGGCCCATGGACGAGTATACATTCACTATTAGGGCCATACTTCGATAATCAACATGAGCAACCTTTCAGGTGAAGTGTTCATTCACGACTAGGCCTATAAGAAGTATCATTCACCTCATATTAGAGTAGGCAACATGAAGGACAGAGGGAAGTAGTCACACATTTCGGCTCAAGTTCAACCGGCGGTTTGCGAGAAATTCGCTTGCTTGCTAGGAAAGTACCATATGCACCGCAGTCGCAGCATAGACGACTGGAACACATGGAAGAGCAGCTTAGATTAGTAGGTCAGGACCGGAGGCAGTTGAGAGCTCTGCTACATCAACAAAGGCATATTCAAGAAGAAGTAGAGAAGCTTATGACCGAACGATTACGTGATTTCCAATGTAACAAGGTCATTGACGAGGCACTACGACGAGATATGACCAACATAAGCAGGTTACCCTTCGCATATGAGATTGAGTAGGCAGAGCCTCCACACAAGTTCAGCATGCCACATTTCACATCCTTCAAGGAG